GGACCAATGGTTTGATTTATTCTAAAGGCATTTCCTCTAATACAAATGAGGGCCGGGCTTTAGCACAGCAGGTTAAGCACCAGCTGCAATAAATGTTGCCAATCGAAAGGTTGGCATTTTGAAGCCTGCGTCAGGGGTGAGCACCCAAACTTCAGCCCAGCTCACTGCCCACCTAGCAGACTGAAAACAGCTGTGAGTAGATAAATATGTACTGCTTAAGCAGGGAGGTATTTTAATGACACCAAAAGGAAATACCAGAAAATTCCAGTGATTCAATCAAAAAGGAGGAAGTATGCGAACAGGGCTCTTTGACTCCCCGTTGCCAGAATCGAGCACAACCTCCAAGACGCCAAACATGGGAAAACCCTATATATCTCTATCTGTACTGTTGCCTGTCCTATCAGTGTAGAACGGCATTGAATGTTTGCTGTATATGTGTTCTGTGATATGATAACCTTCCCATGTGAGCAGTGTTTCAGATCCCAGAGGAAGTCAAGAGGAGCCCACTTGCTGTGCCCTAATTCTGACAGATAATGCACATCTTGAAATGGTGTTTGATAGCAGGGTGTGCAACTGTCAGTACTCAAATGATTTCAATGGTTCCCTCTGGGAAGTGGAAGTTTGCACCCCTGAGGCATGTCACCACCCACTGAAATGTTACTTCCCCATTTCTTTTTTTTGGTAAAAACTAAAAACACCCCCAAAATTCAGTTGTGGTGTGTGGGAACAATTTTTCTGTGTTTTCTTGTTTTACGTCCAGTAGATGTAAGCTGAATATTGATTGCAGGTTTACTTCCTTGTTTGAAAACAGGTACTTTATTGAAACAAAGAAGTGGATGCATAGGGAATGTAGCGAAATTGGCCCATTCCTCCTTAGTGCCTGCTAAGCAGGGTTCTTACATAAAAATGAGGGATGAAATTCACTAAGGCCCCTTCTACAACTGCCCTACATGCCCAGAATCTGATCCTAGATTATACCAGATTACTTGGCAGTGTAGACTCATATAATTCAGTTCAAAGCAGATATTCTGAGTTCAGATCCTGGGATATAGGGCAGTGTAGATCCAGCCTAAGGCAGTTTCAGATATGTAAATAAGATATGCTTTTGTGACTGCTTCATACTCATGATCCTTACATGTGCTTTGGTTTAGAGCAGTAGTTCTCCAACCTGTGGGTCTCCAGGTGTTTTGGCCTACAATTCCCAGAAATCCCAGCCAGTATACCAACCGTTAGGATTTCTGGGAGTTGAAGGCCAAAACATCTGGGGACACACAGGTTGAGAACTACTGGTTTAGAGCATATGTAGGGCCCATGAAAGTCCCTCAATTTCAATTTATTGGACAGCAGCCACTGCAATCAATAGAAGTCTGTTCCTATTTATCAGAAACTAGTAGAATGACATTCCAACATGGCATTTATCAAGCCATCTCTAGTGTAAGGTGAAGTGATAGGGACTGAGTTTCTATGAGACCAGAGACTGTTTGCATCAGTCAGCCACGTATTTGTTGACAGGAGAATAGACTCTTCTCCATCACAGTTGCTGATTCCCAGTAAGTGGGGATGGCTTAGTGCAGTGGTTCTCAACCTGTGGGTCTCCAGGTGTTTTGGCCTGCAACTCCCAGAAATCCCAGGCAGTTTACTAGCTGTTGGGATTTCTGGAAGTTGAAGGCCAAAACATCTGGAGACCCACAGGTTGAGAACCACTGGCTTAGTGGTTGTTCAGGCAGGGAGATACTATGTAGCACGGTAACTACAATGGTTGCATGTTCATAACTGCCATAGTGATTTCTGTTTAGAAAACACAGAAGCAGTATAGTGTTCCTTCACTGCTCCCCGTGAAACAGCGAGTCCGCAATAAGCGAAGTAGCAAGGGAACACTGTGCACCTATTTCCTTTGTTGCTTCTCTATTTCACCTCCAACCCCAAGTTTTCTCAGCAGATGGAAGATGGATAACCAAATAATCATGCTCAAGTCTGCTCAGGGATGTGAAGCACAACAATGTTACATCCTTTATCTAACAACTAGCCCTGTCTCCTTGAAAAGGCCATCCCCAGTTATGCCTGATGTTACTAACTAGCAAGGCCAAATGATGTTTCGACTGGCAGTGAAATAATCTGCAAATGATTTTGTTATTTTTTTGGTTAGTGCAACTTCATTATGAAACTGTTTTAATTTATTTCAGTTACCATACATTACTGGTTATTTCTGAATCTTGAGCCACTGTGCACCTATTAAACCTTATTGATCATGTAAAGGTGTTACATAAATCAAGTGCCTGATTGTTCAACTGATTAATTTTTGGGGGGTCAAATCTGTTTCGGCAACAAAAATAACATAGGCAGAACACAATTAACAGGAAAGTGCTCTGAAAACATTGAATAGAAGGCCTAATGCAATTAAGGACTCATTTGTATATCTTATTAATGGGCGTTATGGACTTTGTTTCCTCCCAATTATCTCCAAGTCTGACATGATAAAAGTTAGTCTAAAATGCCAGTACAGGACACCAGAAAATAATTCACTTTAACAATGCCTGCTCTAAAAGTTATTTGGTCAAATGTTTGTGAACATCATAGTAGGGGGGCTTTTCTATAAGACTTAACATGGACAGGGATGGCTGAGGGATATAGCAGGAGGTGGTGGGAAAGAGTAATATACAAAGCACTCTAGAGTGGAAGAAGGATGTTTGTATTTGAAAGAATGCTTACATTCAACAAACTCTCCAATAGTTCTTTCTTCCCATTAGTAATTTCTAGGCTAGGTTTAACCCAAACTGAGCTGGGGTTAAGTCAAGTAGCTTAGTAACTGTTTGGCCTCCTATGAATGTATGTGGAATATTTGGCTCTGGGAACAGTATAGTAACATTTGTGGTACTGGGTTGTTGTAGGTTTTTCCGGGCTATATGGCCATGTTCTGGAGGCAATTTTTCCCCTGACGTGCCTCCAGAACATGGCCATATAGCCCGGAAAAACCTACAACAACCCAGTGATTCCGGCCATTAAAGCCTTCGACAATACATTTGTGGTACTTACAGCCCATTGACTTACTGATCAATGCTGTTTCTTTCTTAAGGACTCCTTCTCAATGTGACCATTCCTCTCCTTAGTTATCATAGATTCTATGTGACAACTGAGTGTTTCTAAAGTACTTTCCCAAATAATTTAGCCTCCTGTGTTATCATTTTTTATTCAGAATTTACATGCAACAACTCTGTTTACATTGAAACAAACTCCTACAATTTCTTCGTTCTCTATACGAGACTCCACATACTTCACTAAAATTTGAGGTTTCCCAGTATATGTTTTCTAGTTCTATTATCCAATGATGGCATTCATTAAACCAGTGGTTCCCAACCTTTTTTTGACCAGGGACCACTTTGACCAGGGACCACTCTCCAACATTAGTACCAAAAGGGTTACAAATCAGTTTTTGGTTAAATTTAGATTTGGTTTGGTTATTTGGGGTGCTAATTGAGAAAACCGCATTGGATAGACCACATCACCTCTAGTTTCTGAGACAGAACATATGCCATCCAGTAGTAGCCATCTGCTTGCCCACAGAAAACCGTATTTAATAATCTAGAGCTGATGTGGTCTATCCAATACAATTTTCTGAATCAGCACCTCAAATAACCCCAGGAACAGGCCTAAAAACGAAGACACCAAGGTGCCACCACTTCCAGGCACCACATGGAACAACTCCACTCAGGGGGAGGGAGGAGGAGGAGAAGCAGCAGTCAGGAGGCTTGTTGGTATGCCTTTCGTGGGTAGTCAGTCCCTCACCTCCTGACATCCCTGTTGCCTTGGCACTATAAGAGGGTTTCGCGAGACCAGTCGCTCTTGTTGCAACTTTGTAGTAACTATGCCGTGGACCATATTTTAGCTCTTGGGGACCACCGGTGGTCCACCGACCACAGGTTGGGAACTACTGCATTAAACAAATACCTCATTCTGAGACATCTAGATAAACAGTTTCTAACTGGATGACACGCCAATTGTCTATATATACAATTGAAATAACACTCCACCCTAGGAAGAGAAGTGAAACAGCAAGATGACTTACCTTGAATTTTAAAATTCTACAGTTATATTTAGGAAATAATTCTTATAATTCTTATATTTAGGATGGGAATAATAACTCCTGGGAGGCACCACATCTCCTTGTATTACAAGCGTCTGGAACACATTACACGAGCATCTGTATTCTATCCCATAATAATCCAACATTATAAGATAATCTGTTTCTCAGCTTCACTGAGAGTTGAACTGATAGCAGGAGCAAATGGGGAAGATGTTTGATCACTGAGTCAATTCCTAGGTCTTGGGTCGATAAGATGTGAAGCCAGCTTACTACAAATCTTAATCAGGTAAGGCAACTGGCAAATTTACGTGCTGCTGTTGTACTTCTTTTAGCCCAAGGACATTTACTATCTCTGTCCTCAAAGGCAGACAGTATTTATAACCCTTATCTGAATCCTTATCTCATCCTAAGGTCAACTGCCTAGAAGAGTAACTTGTCCAGAGAAGGTAGGCCCAATAAATATTTACTGGCATCTGCAAAGAGCTAATGCACAGATAGAGAGTGGTTTCTCTCAGCACTATGAGCCACGTTATTAACATTCAGTGCCTAGAGCTTTAGTGATGAGTCTTGCTTTTTGCTGAATGCAAGTTGCTTCGTCTTCTTTGGAAAAAGAAAAAAGGTTATCCCATTTTCGAAGGCACATTATCACACAATACTAATCCTTCAAGAGCTATCTTTGGCCAGGCTATATTTAGCATAGTACATGCAAGCAAATGTGAACTTTTTAATTCTAATCAGACATGGGGATCAAATGACAAAATTAAAAGAAAGTTTCATTTTCTCTTTGCTCTCCTCTATCCCCTTTTTTCCTTCTGGGTTTAGGATTTAGAACAGCACAGAGCCGTATTCTATTTTAAGAAGCTACTTATGGCAATGGAAGAAAGCGCAAGAATCCAAGGAGGTTTCTCCTTCTCCTTACCTGGGCTCTGATTGCGGCATCCTTTTTAATCCACTTTATCACCGTTTCATAAACCAACTCTTCTGTTTTCGTGTTCAGGCTGTCATTGGACATGTAGGAGATGAAGTCGTCCTTGGAGATATTAAGAATCTCCTCTTGATTTGCCACTTCTGGGAAAATCTGCAACGCATAGGCCTTCGCCATGTTGTATAGTTCACTGCACTGCATTGCTTCGGCCATGGCTAATATTCCTAGGCAGTTGCTAGCAGTCAACTGTTTTTCTAAAAGGAACAAATATGAAAGAGAAAAGGGAGGAGGAACAAGTCAAAATTCAGGGCATCAACTTGTTCTTCAGCTGTACTGGTTAGGTTTTTCTGAAACAATCCCTTCCTATAAACAGACCTGCCTCATTTTGTTTTCCTGCTTTTGAAACTTGTATGCTGTCACCCAGCATCCGAAAGAGAACCAGAGTGGGAAGAATTCTGTCTCAAAAACAAATGGCTAAATTAAATGGCCACAGGTTTTTCCAAATATATAACTGGGGAAATAAAATGAAGACAAGACCCTGTAGGCACTCAGGGGAAATCTATCTGGTAATAGCAGAAGGGGCAAATATATATAGGGGTGAATGAATTCTGCTTGTGCTAAACCAATGTAAGCCAGGCTGTATTGAATCCACAGAAGTATAAAAATGGTCTACAGCTTGATATGAGCTGCAGAATTAGGCTTCCCAAAGAAAGTCAGCTTAAAGAAAATAATTCTATCCCCTATAACAATTTTGTAGGTTATATTAGCAAGCTGGAGCTGGCAAAATAATAATAGTAATAATAATAACAACGATAATAATAAAGCCGACACGATTTGAGGATTTAAAGATCGAACTGCAAAGACTCTGACACAAGCCAGTAAAGGTGGTCCCAGTGGTGATTGGCACACTGGGTGCAGAGCCTAAAGACCTTGGCCTGCACTTAAACACAATCAATGCTGGCAAGATTACCATCTGCCAGCTGCAGAAGGCCATCTTACTGGGATCTGCACGCATTACTTGCTGATACATCACACAGTCCTAGACACTTGGGAAGTGTCCGACGTGTGATCCAATACAACAGCCAGCAGAGTGATCTTGTCTGCTGTGGACTCATCTTGTTGTGTTTCAAATAACAATAATGACATAATAAAAATTCTAATGATAACTTAATGAAAGTTTAACCTTTGTATGTGTTAGTGATGAGATTTTAAAAATCTGTTATGTTACAACATTTGTAAGCTGCTTGGGAGCCCCAGAATGGAGGAAGAAGGCATAATGATAATGATGATGATACCAATAGTAATTGTTATTGTTTTCTTCATGGTCTCTAGCTAGGTTTTTGGAAGTTAATGCCTCTGTTTCTCTCTTTTTTCCAGCAGCATGAGTATCTAGCATAAATGATCAAGTAATAAAAATAGGTTTGCTATTAAGAAACTGGATTCTTTCACATTCAAAATATAAAATAAGTGATATTCTACCCTTTTTAAACAATGGCCAAAGGAAGTAATGAATTATAAATGTTCAAAAGTGGATTTCATGGTACAGTAAGCACATAACCCCTTTGACCTCCAAGTATGTCACAATCGAGAACAGGATTTCTTAGCCAAGCTCCTTCCCAAGAGAAGTGAAGACAGCCACAAGATATTAAGGACCCATCTTGTAGTAGGAAAAATCCTTGAGGACTGAGCAAATGAACAGGAAGTGTGTAGCTTGTGGAAGGTCTGCCAGGGAACATAACTTCAAAATGTTGGTTGTTAAACCTATCAAGTCAATTGATGTCTATTCAGTAACATTTTATTAGTGACTGAATTTGTCCTTTTTTGACAATGGTTGTTGTTTTCTCAACAGGAGTCTGGGCCCATCTAAAATGAGATCAAATCAAGCAATTCTGTTCTAAGACATCATATTCAATACAGATCCAGGTCATCATAATGACCTAATCCATATGATCAATACATGTGGTTGTAAAGGAACAATCAAAGACATAGATTTACCAATCTTTTAAAGACCTGTAGTGTTTGTGGTCGAAATGCTCAGCTATACAAAACTTAATTTGGCTAAGAAAAAAAAGGGACCACACCAAGTCCCTTAAGGAGGTTGGTAAGTTTCATGCTTGGGAACTGTTTCCCAACATTAGTAATAAAGCATTAAGATTCAAAGCTATAAGGATTAAGATATACTTAATTCTTATACTATAAGATATACTTCAGTCAATAGTGTGAAAAAGCAACTTGTATTCATCTGAGGACTAATGAGTGGATGCTGCTTTCCTAGTATCAAAAGATGTACAGTACAACCTTTGAATCGACAGGAGATAAGTGTTCGGACCTCATGTGAATAAACAAAAAAACTGTGGATAATAGTGAACTCTACTAAAATGAAGGCCTTCCAGCCCAATAATACCATAGAGCTACACTGGATAACCTACAAAATGTCTAGAGAAGACATATTTTGCTGGATATGAATAAATGAAACTGTGGATACTGATTCCATGAACGAGGAGGTCAGACTACATAGTTTGCCCCGGACTTTTCTGCATGAACATCTAAGAAAATCCTACAAAAATCTCAGCCAGAAACGTAGGAATAACCAAAAAAGCAACGTGTTAGTCAATGTGTTGTTGAAGGTTTTCATGGCTGGAATCGTTGGGTTGCTTTGAGTTTTCCAGGCTGCATGGCCATGTTCCAGAAGCATTTTCTCCTGACATTTCACCCACATATATGGTAGGCATCCTCAGAGATGAGGTTTACTGTAAACAAGGCAAGTGAGTTTTATATATACGAGGAATGTCCAGGGAGGGAGAAAGAACTTTTGTCTGCCTGAGGCAAGTGTGAATGTTGCAAATGGCCACTTTGATTAGCATTGATTAGACTCAATCAGGAACAGCTAACATCTTTCAACAAAGGATCCCCCAGGTAGTAGCCAGTTAGGGTTTGAAGCTGCAAGGCCATTAAAAGCCAATCAAGGCGGCCAATTGCAACATTCATACTTGTTTGATGCAAGTGTGAATGTTGCAAATGGCCACCTTGATTAGCATAGATTAGAATCAATCAGAGACAGCTAAAACCTTCCAACAAAGGATCCCCCAGGCAGCAGCCAGCTAGGGTTTGAAGCTGGAAGTCCATTAAAAGCTAATCAAGGTGGCCAATTGCGACATTCATACTTGTTTGATGCAAGTGTGAATGTTGCATATGGCCACATTGATTTCCATGGATTAGAATCAATCAGGGACAGCTAACACCTTCTAACAAATGATCCCTCAGGCAGCAGCCAGCCAGGGTTTGAAGCTGCAAGGCCATTAAAAGCTAATTAAGGTGGCCAATTGTAACATTCATACTTGACTCAAGCAGACAAGAGTTCTTTCTCCCACCCTGGACATTCCAGATAACCTTACTTGCCTAGTTTCCAACAGACCTCACAACCTCTGAGGATGCCTGCCATAAATACGGCAAAATGTCAGGACAGAATGCTTCAGGAACATGGTCATACAGCCCGGAAAACTCACAGCAACCCAATGTGATAGTCCTTATGGCTGTCAAGAAAAAGATGTTAGGAAATGGATCTGCCGTGTGTTAGCACACTCAAATCTTTTCATTCTTGATACAAGTTTTTCAGGAATTTTCAACCTAATTCTCATTATTCTTGCTTGCCAACTTTAAAAGGGCCACTGCACACATAATGAACCTAATCTATTGGCTATCAAGCTAATCAATCTAGTTCCTTTGGGTTTTTGTCTCTAATGCCACCAAGCTTCTTAACCATAGTTAAACTTTACATCACGACATCAGTTACAGATAATGCTAATCAAGAGAAAAGATTTTGAAAATACATGGAATCAACTAGGACCAGAAGCCAGGAAACTGACTGGGAGGGTTTCCTGTTAATACGAACAGCAGCAATTGTCAATGCCAATTAAACACTTAACCATGGTAAAGATGGGCACAAGGGATTTGTGTAGATGGAAAAGAAATTGTCAAAAATTCCAAAGAGTTCACCCACAATCTATTAACCACAGCGAAGAGCACTGAATCTGTACCAATCCAAGCTTCTCCAAGAAGAGGTAATGAGGTTTTAATAGCTATGAGGCAAGAAGCATTTTATTTGCACTGCTCCCCAGCCGACAAAACTAATGCTCATTTTTTTCCTCAGTACCAACAAAGGTAAAATTTTCATTAGTGCTGCCTTCACAAATGTTTTTGCTCACCTCCATGCTGGGCGACCAACTTCTACTGCACTGCACCAATTCGTCACGGAGAAAGTATTATTTGGGAAGCCACAGCTCTAATCCCTTCCCACTACAATTCTTATTTTTTAATAGAAAAATACTAAAGTCGTTGCAAGATTGAAAGAAAGGGAATCACTTTCGGCTGCTCAAAGCAACCTTCCTTAAGCTGGTATCTTCCAGATATATTGTCGAAGGCTTTCATGGCCAGAATCACTGGGTTGTTGTGAGTTTTCTGGGCTGTATGGACATGTTCCAGAAGCATTCTCTCCTGACGTTTCTGCAAGCATGTGGACAATTTCAACAGAAAGGAAGAGACCTTGAAAATGAACAAAATCTGGCTACCAGTATTAAGAAACTCTAAAATCAAAACAGTAAATAAAGAACAACACTAAAAAAAAAGTGGAATTCCAGACAAGATATAATCAGGGCCAGCTAGGCACCTCCCAACAAAGGATTCCCCCAGGCAGTAAGAAGCCAAACCTTGAAACGGCTAAGCCATTAATTGCTACTCAAGCTGACCAATTGCAACAGTCACACCTACCTCAAATTGCAGCAACACCAGAGGCACTCCAAGTGGCCAGCTATTGGTCAAATGATATTTAATCAACTACCAAGCTTGCAAACTTTGTGTTTTGTTTGTGTGTTTGTTTGTTTGTTAAAAAATGTAACATAACTGTTTGGTCTGCTCCTGACACGATAAATAAATAACCTACCTCAAACAGACGAAAGTTCTTTCTCCCACCCTGGACATTCCAGAAATATATAAATCTCACTTGCCTAGTTTCCAACAGACCTCACAACCTCTGAGAATGCCTGCCATAGATGTGGGTGAAACATCAGGAGAGAATGCTTCTGGAACATGGTCATACAGCCTAGAAGAATCTTCCAGATATGTTGGACTGCAATACCTAGTTTCAACCAATCCAAGTAAAGAGGGAAGGATGCTCAAAACAAATACAAAAAGAAAAGGAGAATAAAAATGTATTTTGAGCTATTTATTTCTGTAACATATTGGGTGGAATGGACCCGTTTTTTCCATTGATGGTTCTCTGAAGAACACTGCAAATAGGGCTTTTGAATTATGAGATGCTTAGCTTATATGATGCAAACGTGAAAAATGAGGCTAAGTAAAATGCTTTGCTCTCAACTTTCCACACAGCAAATACTCCACTATCTCTGAAGCTCAATTCGGGAAGAGCTATAAATAAAAATAAGCAATTATATTTTATGAATTCTCTAAATGAGAATACAAACTTCTAGTTCCTCATCTATAATGAAACCTACCACCAACTCTCCCAATTGCATAACCATAACATGGTTCACTGCATTCAAATATTAAGTATTGGAAAAGGAAAACCTCACATTGATTTAGTGGAAATAAATGTATTTTGTTATAGTAGTTGAATCTTTCAAGATAATATGCATGGATATATCTGTGGATCATTATGAAAGCCATAAAAATCTATTAATTTAAAAACATGCTGAACGGCAGATATTAAAGTAAATCTTCACCAGGACAGCAAAAGCCATTCAATATTCAGCTTTGGAAGAGATGTGAACAATCTGGAGAAGACACTTGCCAGGGAAACAGGAAGATACACAAGAGCCTTAGAGTAAAAGAACCAGTAGAATCAGAGAATCATAGAGTTGGAAGAGACCTCGTGGGCCATCCAGTCCAACCCCCCCCCCCCGTCAATAGGCAGGAAAAACACATTCAAAGCACCTCCAACAGATGGCCATCCAGCCTCTGTTTAAAAGCCTCCAAAGAAGGACCCTCCACCACACTCTGGGGCAGAGAGTTCCACTGCTGAACAGTTGTCACAGTCAGGAAGTTCTTCTTCATCATGTTTAGGTGGAATCTCCTTCCCTGTAGTTTGAAGCCATTGTTTTGCATCCTAGTCTCCAGGGCAGCAGAAAACAAGCTTGCTCCTGCCTCCCTATGACTTCCCCTCACATATTTATACATGGCCATCATGTCTCCTCTCAGTCTTCTCTTCATGATCAGCTCTTTAAGCCACCCCTCATAGGGCTTGTTCTCCAGACCCTTGATCATTTTACTCATCCTCCTCTGGACACATTCCAGCTTGTCAACATCTCAACTTCAGAATAAAATTAAAGAACCTATCTTGTTTGTAACTTGGGGACAGCCTTTATGTTGCCTTGGTGTGTGATGGAGTCTCCTTCTTTGGAATTTTTTAAACAAAGGCTGGATGGCCATCTGCCAAGAGTGTTTTGATTGTGTGTTCATGTATGGCAGGAAGTTGGACTAGATGTGGCCTCTTCCAATTCTATGATTCTATGAATGAATAAGAGATATCTAGATGCGAATGATGTTCAGTGTCTCACTCTCTGCAATAAAGTTTGGCGATTGAAGGAAACTAACTAAGGAACAGAGTTCTAATTACAGGGAGGTAACATCTTCACTTTGATACCCCCCAGATACCCTGTTCCCCGAAAATAAGACATCCCCTGAATATAAGACCTAGTAGAGGTTTCGCTGAATTGCTAAATATAAGGCCTCCCCCGAAAGGAAGGCCTAGCAAAGGTTTGTGTTTGGAAACATACTCTTTCTGGTAGCCAGAAGTGGTCCAGGAACTACTGTGGGAGATTGTAACAGTCTCCAGACAGTGTGTGAGAGCCAGGTACTTTACAGTCCTTATTTTTGTGGCCCTGTGTGTGAGGGCCAGTATATTTATTATATACGGACAACTACTGTACAGTATTTAATAAATGTTCATTTTTTTGTTGAACAATAAATGTGAATTCTTCTTCATGTAAAAATAAGACAACCCCTGAAAATAAGACCTAGCACATCTTTGGGAGCAAAAATTAATATAAGACACTGTATTATTTTCAGGGAAACAGGGTATCTATATCCCTGATTTTTTTTACTACATTAGAAAGGATTAGAGTCATGTTTTCCCCAATTCCATAAGCATTTTGTAATTCTTTAGGGAGCAGAATTTTGTGCCAGTTTCTTTGTTTTCTCTGCCATTCAGTCGACATGAAGTGTTTATCTAGCTTTGGGCCAATGATACAGCATGCCAGGCTCCTAATGCCTTCAACGGGACATCCAAACTAAAGTTATACTCAAACAGGGAAGTGAGGGTTGCTATATTGCAATGGCATTTAGTGATAATTTATTTATTTATATCATTTTTATCCCGCCCATTTCAGTCCGAAGACATACAAACCGGCAACAATTAGATGCCGTATATAAAAACATACATAAAGCATGAAAAACGTTAACATTCAGAGGTAGTCAGAGAGAAAGATCACAAATCCTTACCTAGAAAAGACACGCAGACTTTGCAAAATGTATGAAACTGGAACTTGTTGGCAGCTTCCAGAAGTGTTTTGGCGTTGGCAGAATCTATTACTAAGGAACCTGTATAAACAAATTCCAGCAGTAATTCCAGGACGTCCACTGTGAGATTTGGTAACTCCAGCTCCAGCTTCTCACCGCTTCTGCTACTGTCCCGAAGTGACCTAGCAACAGCAGACAACGAAATTCTTACAGGACATTAACTTTCTCCCCATGGTTGCCACTGATTGATGGCTAGATATTACTGTTAATTGACACAGATTGCTTTTATTGTTGTTTAAGATTTGAAAATACTGTATCTTTTTTTAAAAAATGAGGAACTTTAAAAAAGACTTTATTACTGGATCTGAAAGAGAAGAGTCTTGTGCACAGACACAAAAACAATTTATTCCTAGGCTGCATAGTCATGCAAAAACAAAAGAAGAAACCAAAACTGCAAACCAAACAAACAAAAATCAAGGAGAAGATGAGCCAACATTAATGAAAAAGTGGAACAGGATTAAATTTCAAAGGGAAGCAATATATTTTTATGTCTCCATTCCACGCCTCTTCGTCTTAAGATATCAAAACCAGGCAAGGGAAATAAGCCTAGTTTTACTGTTTTTTTTCATTTTACTCTGTTTTTTTCTTCTTCTTCATGACTTTATCCTCTTGGAAAGGTATCTCGAAAAGTATTAAAAGTGATATTTAAGGACTCTTTGACTAAATTGAAATAATAGGGGACTCGAATATAAGAAGATATTTGCATAACATTCTCAAGGTTGCAAGCAAGTCATATATACAAAAATGGATGTGTGCGTATTTATATCTCCAAAAATATATTGTTCCCTTTTAGGCACTAAAAGAAAAAGAAAAGGAAGGAAGGAGACCCCCAGCATGGCATTGCTTTGAAAACTAAATACAAGACGAGATAGACAGACAAAATGGTTAGAGTGGAAGAGGGAAAGGGGGGGTTGGAACAACCAGCTCTGCCACAGGAAGCCAGCAGCCATCCTCTCGAAGTTTCATGACTGTGGCCTGCATAAAGTGCTAAACAATTTGGTGATCAAAATGTCGCCTGCATTTGAAGTGTGCGTTATTAGTGCTTGTGAAACTATCAGACAAAAAAAAATACTTTATTGAAAAAAGGTACATGGGAGAAGTGGGTGAGAAGGGCCCACTTCCTAATGCCTGGCGCATGGTATAGCTGCAAAACACTAAAGTCGGGTTATACCTGAAAGACAAAACAAAACAAAACAAAAGAAACCAACACCACACATTTGGTAATGCCAAGAAAAGGGGAGGAAAATCTGTTAGCGTAGGAAAGCAAACACCTTTTAAATGGTTAGAACCACCATCAGCACCTTCTCAACGAAAGATTAATTGCTCTCAGTGTAGGTAACAAGTCTCTGCTGCTAAGAACCTGTGTCAGAATGAACACCAGCACTCAAGTGTCCCGGTAAACTATTTGGAAAAATGGTCAGCCTTAAAGAGAAGCTTGGCAGGGGACTAGTCTACCAGAACCTCAAGCATCAAAGTCAATATGGCCAAGAAGCCTCCATCAGCTAAGGTAGTGTTTCTCAACCTTTCTAATGTCGTGACCCCTTAATAATACAATTCCTAGTGTATTATTGCTACTTCATAACTGTAATCTTGCTACTGTTATGAATTGTAATATAAATATCTGATATGTAGGAGGTATTTTCATTTACTGGACCAAATTTGGCTGAGAAGCTGGCCAATTACAACAGAGGAGGTTTTTTGGTGGGAAAATGCCGTCTGTTTCCAAAAAGAAAGAGAAGAACAGGCAGAGAGATCTTCAGCCTTCTCTGCCAAAGAGGTTCCTAAGACCAGCAGAAATATATGTTTTCTGATGGTCTTCGGTGACCCCTCTGAAACGCCTTTGCGACCCCCCACAGGAATCCCGACTCCCAGGTTGAGAAACGCTGAGCTATGGTCTAAGGTTGGGGCTTGATGGAGAAGTACAGTTGACCAATTGTATCTGTGGGGGGTTGGTTTCAGGACCACCTTAGGATATCCCAAAATGAAGATGCTCGAGTCTCTAATCTAAAGGATGCAGTTACAGTGGATTCAGTAATCCTTTCCAACCCAACATTCCTGCATAAACAACAAAGGTAGCTGCACTTTGTGAATCCCAGCCTCCCTTACCCACCTCTTCCTGATGATCAGTTCTCTCCCTTCCCTTTTCTTGCTCTCTTCCTTGCACACACTTTGCTAGGGGCATGCACAAGCCTTAGTCTCGCATCCCACCCACCAGTTCCATCCCTTACTCCATCTTGGTCCCCCTTCTGCCCCACTTCACTAGCATCCTTGTCCATAGCAATGCACCATAGAGCAGCTTCTACCATGGTCCTCTCATGAGACCATTGGGCAAAGCCAATGAAATGTGAGATGTCCCATACTACTTTTAAATTTTTATTTTCACAATTATATATTTGAAACATTTGAATTCTTTTTTTTTTAAAAAAAATGTTCTATGGTTGGTTCAATCCATGGATCCAGAACCCACAGAGATGGAAGACATAATTTATAGACAAATTCCATTATTCCAATGGGCCAGGGGAATTCACTTCCCTCCTCCCAATGCTTTCATCTCCCAATTACCTGACTCAAAGCCCGTTAATATAAGTGTGATGGTTATTTATTTATTTATTTATTTGTTATATTTTTATCCTGCTTTTCTCAACCCCAATTGGGACTCAAGGCAGCTTACAGCAGAGGCAATAATTCAATGCCTAAAACAATATACATCCAATATACAATTAAATAAACATTTCAATTAAAATTGATGTGTTATAATGTGTAGAGTAGTTACTGGTTCTGCAGAAATTTACATGTGACTTTAATGTGGTGCAATCAGATTTGACCAATTCCAACTTCTGATAAAGTTAAGCAAATGCAGAAGTTTCTGAAAATCCCCAGAGTGAACCCACTTTTATGTATGCAGAACTTTACTGAGAGAGGTATGCCCTATTTTATGAACAGAACTCCCGATGTAACTGCATCTGTCAAGGTATCAGACCATCTATATACTACATCATTTTCATCTTTAGGTAATGGTGCTTTGATGTTACCAACATTTCCCCACCTGCTATGTGGAACAGAAGTTAACCAAAGTTAAAGGTGAATATGTTCTTTACTCAGTTCACAATCTTTAAATGCGGCCAGCTATTTTAATATCTTTACAGTAAAAGTGCCTACTGCTCTGTTTTTTTTAAAGACATTATTCCAGATGGCTTCAAATATGTGAGGTGCTTACATAAGATGAAACAGAGAATCAGGAGTCTAGAATGAAATATAGCATAATCCACTAACTGAGTTATTCCCTTTCTACTGCGGAGTGTCTCCAACTATTCAACTGAAGGGTAAAGATTCATCTCTGGGCGTTGCATTATTTCCTGAAACTCTTTTGAATTCCCCTTTACCACACATTTTTATCTCCAAGTATATTCTTGCCCATTCCATCTTACACTGTCAGTGCATCACAATAAAAAAGTCATATTTTGTGATGGAAGAAGCATACCTTCTCTTCGCACAATAGTAAATTGATGGGACGAATATGGTAGAACATAAATTTGAGACACAGCCTTTTACCTGAGCCCCCAGTGGCATAATGGGTTAAACCCTTGTGCCGGCAGGACTGCTAACCTACAGGTCAGTGGTTCAAATCTGGGGAGAGCAGGTTGAGCTCCCTCTGACAGCTCCAGCTCTCCATGCAGGGACATGAGAAAAGCCTATCACAAGAATGGTAAAACATCAAACATCCGGAAGTCCTCTGGGCAACATTCTTGCAGATGGCCAATTCTCTCACACCAGAAGCAACTTGCAGTTTCTCAAGTTGCCCCTGATACACCCCCCCCTCCAAAAAAATCCAGCCTTTTACAGACTGATGCTCTCCAGAGGTTTTGCTAACAAAATCCCATCATCCCAACTCACCACTGGCTAGGTGATGGAGGATACAGCATAACACAAAAACAAGGAACCAGGGTGAAGAAAATCGATGTGAGCCATCCTCAATCTTTATCCCAGTTCTGTGTTAATGCGATTTCACTATTATCTCATATTTATCTGAGAGGATCTTCAGCACACTATTCTGTGGTTGACCTTATTAAGCTTTCTCTGGAGACAGCAGAAGCAAACAACAGCGAAAAAGCTGTTAAGAGCTCAAGCCACCATTAGAATAAAGAAAATAACAATATTCGAGGCAACTCCACCCTGCTATTGCTCTTGGAATTATTCAGTGATAATCTCTTCTCCTTTGTAATATGCCAAGCTTTAAATGGCTGCTGCAATTGATTAAACACCAAAACAAAGCTAAGGTGTTTAATCAATCACAAAAGCCTCTTATCGAGAGCATAATACCCAGCAGAGATTACTGATGTTACACAACCTGACAGAAACGGAAAAGAAAATTGTATCCTTTTCCCCTACTTCTGGTGACAATCTAATATTGGCAGCAAGCTGCAGCTGTGATCTTCATATAGCATACAGATGACGGGCTCTGTTTAGATGTATCATCTGGATCTGAATCCTGCAGAAGTGCCAGTCTCAGCCAACACAAAAAATGTAGGAACGAATGCATCAATCTACCCATCTAACTAGTATCTCTTTTGTGAGGATGGACCAGTTTAATAGAAGTTTAGAATCAGAAACCAGAGGGATTATGACTTGAACTGGTTCCTGTGAGATAAACAAGGAATTTTCCAAAAGCCACCTTGCTCAATTTAATGGGACAGCCAGCCTGAAAGAGAGAGGATTATATGTCTCTATCTTGGTGACACAGCACTGAAAGGTCCTGGCTGAAATAAAGAACTCTACAAAGTGCCCAATCCACATTTTAACAGCACTAGATCCAGCTTTTTTCAGTCTCTTCCTATAGTAATGAATATGCAGACATATGGCCTTTTCAGATGTTTATTTAACACCAGATTTTCTATATTTGGGGTTCATGCTATCACCTGGTGCAATGTTGAGAAACTCCAAATCCTAAAGTGGGCCATGGAGCTCACCTCCATCCTGGTGGAGCCATGTTCCTTTCCATTCAACCACTTATATGGGTTGAATGGAGGAAGCAGCTGGCACCAGAGTTTATTTAAGTTTTTCCCAGAAAAGGGGTAAATACTTATGCAATGAACCGTTTCCAGTTTACTTTGGTTTATTTTAC